CATGTAACCACACACCGCACTGAGGTCGACTGAAGTCACATGTAACTCGTGTGTGCGCATGTAACCACACACCGCACTGGGGGTCGAGTGAAGTCACATGTAACTCGTGTGTGCGCATGTAACCACGCACCGCACTGAGGTCGACTGAGGTCACATGTAACTCGTGTGTGCGCATGTAACCACACACCACACTGAGGGTCGACTGAAGTCACATGTAACTCGTGGCCCAGTTGGCAGCCCATTGTCGACTTTAGCGGCCCTGTCCCCAGTCGTCAGGACTCGGGTGTCACAGGAGAGCGCCAATTACAGTGAGAGACAGCTTGGCGGGCGGGCGGCATCGCTGAGCTGGCGCGCTTCCCCAGGACGTCAGAGGCACTACTGTAAAGAAGCTCGACAGCGGGTCAGCCCCGCTCAGGATGGTGGGCCCACACAAACGAAGATAAGATGTGAGGATGTGGTGTGGGATGTGAATGGGTGCGCGAATGATGGTGTCTGACATTGACGCAGGTCCAGCAGATGACTGCCGGCAACGGTTTGATGCTGTTAGAATACCGCAAATGGCATAAATTCCTCAGAATTTACAACAGCCCAACTGAACAGGAAACTATACCAGTGTGTAATGCGGTGCAAGGTTGCAAATAATCCTAGGCCAAACGCCCTACTCAGTGGAGATGGAGTACATTCACTTCTACGTGTAGGCCACTTTAACCTGGAACGTAGCTTACTTGGCTTGCCTGTGACTTCGCCGTCGAAACCCATTTCTAGCATCGCCGAGAGACGAGGTAATTGCGCAAAGTCGTGGTTACTGATACGCAAAGGCCAGAACGGATGTCGACGGTCCTATACGAGTGTGTCGGAGAAATGAGCAGCCCTTGATTGCCTGTCGACGGCGTGATCGAAGAGTATTTTTTTGACCCGCAACGATGCTCATTAACAGCGATAAAATAATACCATGTTGTGCCGTTGCTGTTCCCTATATTTTGCCATTGGCTGAACCACATTTTCCTTTTTGTCCATATTTGAACTTAGATGCATTTTCCATAACCGTGTATAACGCAATTACCCGTGACACCACAGGAACCTCGATGGTAGGTATTTGGCCATGGAGAATGAGGCCTTGTAGGGACACAGTTTGCCTTGAACGAATGCTTGTAAACTTTGTCTGCAAAATCTGACGCACATGACGCGTCGTTACGCGTTCGAAACAAATACCGTGTGTGCTAGCACATCGTCTCTCCTCTACAAGGATGTTCAATCTGGAGGAGCAATGACGATTCATAATCATTTGCTGAAAGTACAGACACTGCTCGATTGCCGGTCCATATTATTGTTGGAATGGCACAGACAGTGAGCCCATATAGCGCCCATACGTATTACATTTTCAGATACATTTTCTTTCAAAAGTTTTAACTCAGCCAACGGCTATCAGCAAACCGTCTCATTTCTAACTTACACTGGAGCTGGCACTCTAAAAATATAAAACAACTCCGTCCTTTTGCTCGAATTGGATAACCCGCACCCATGGCATTAGGAATATATTGGTTGAAGTCTGCATAGGCTCATTTGCGGCTCAGTTTGTGTTGCAGGTGGAAAATAGCTGTCTCTTCTGCTGATAACGCGTCAATGACTAAAAATCATACGTACATCTGAGCATGAACAATATGATGTTTAAACGGTCCGCAGCATGCTATCGTTGAATGTATGCTGTGAAAACCTACCAAATCCCAAGACCTAGTTCAAACGCCACAAAAAAAACAGATTTAAAAAAGGGAGTTTAGTAGACCTGCGGGCTCAACGTGCCGTCTCTCCACACCGCCCAGATGGCTAGCACCCCGCCGGTATATCGATTGGCAGTCACATTTCCGTAGCTGCGTACTGCGGAAAGCACAGCCAACAGATGTTTTCCTCACCCGAGCCCGCAGAACAATAAGTCCGGACGCCACAGCCCGCTCCCACAGATGGTACCAGGCGCACACACAGGCATGCAAGGCAGGGGCAATGATGGAACAAGTCCCTCTGCCGCTGAACTGGCTCTTAAAACAGCGTGCACTCGTGACAAGAGCGTACAGAACGCGTTGGCGTTAACCAATATCGCCAAACTATGACACGATGCTGTTGAAAACATAGGACATGGCTAATCTGGGGTGCATGTGTGGTGTGTGGCTAGCCAGCGCCCGTCGTCCGTTGGCAACAGCTTTAGTCCTGCAGTTTCCACCACGTGACATAAGGTCAAAGCAGGTCGCCGGGCGCGCTCCACCTAGGGCACGGGCGCCGTGGCTGTGTGCGGCCACATCCTGTTGAAGGCTCCGTGTTTCTGGCAAATATGACGTCCATGAGTTGCAGTTTTTCACGTGGGCCTGGCCCACACGTAGACTAAGGCCAGTCTAGACACACATGACATTGTATCCAGTAGGCGTCAATATGTGAACATATTAGGCCCGTTATGCGCGGCATAGGATGCCTTCATTATGTACGGCTCACTTCTCAAGGGTGCAAACATTCTTCTCGTAACCTTAAGCCGTGCACCAAACCATCGGCATGAACATGCTGAGAGCAACTAGGTTTTCGGTAGTTACACCCCCCCCCCCCCCCATCAACCAACCCCACACATACACACGCGCGCTCATGCACGCAGGCACGCACGTACTGGCACGCGTAAACGCATACAAACACCAGCTTTGCGTGCGTGCGTGCGTGCGTGTGTGTGTGTGTGTGTGTGTGTGTGTGTGTGTGTGTGTGTGTGTGTGTGTGTGTGTGTGTGTGTGTGAGAGAGAGTGTGTGTGTGTGTGTCATGAGAGCCATGACTTTACATCTAAGGGGTGAAATAATGATAAATTTCAATGATCTCAGTTTGTCAGCAATTTGGGGCAAGCTACACAAGTTCCGAGATCAATGGTATCTTAGCTTTTGGGTCATTTGTATGGGTGTTTTCCTCCAGAAATCGTCGTCAAAACGCAAATGGGGGCATTTATTCAAAAATGTGCTGTAAATGATAGGATTTGGTAAGCCAAACAAACCGTGGAGCAACTGTTCACGGGCGGCATAGCGAGCCCCAACTCATCGCCTCACCGCCCAATACCCTGACAACAACCGTCCGGCCGGTTCATATCTCGGGCGGCTCGGCAGTTGTCAGTGGTCCGGCCGGTCCCATCCCGGGCGAGTCTCAGTGCTCCGGCCGGTCCTGGTCCGGGCAAGTCTCAGTGGTCCGGCCGGTCCCATCCCGGGCGAGTCTCAGTGCTCCGGCCGGTCCTGGTCCGGGCAAGTCTCAGCGGTCCGGCCGGTCCCGTCCCGGGCGAGTCTCAGCGGTCCAGCCGGCTCTGGCCCGGGCGAGTCTCAGTGGTCCCGCCGGTCCTGACCCTGGCGAGCCTCAGTGGTCCGGCCGGTCCTGGCCCGGGCGAGTCTCTGTGGTCCGACCGGCCCTATCCCGGCGAGTCTCAGTGGTCCGGCCGGTCCCGCCCCGGGCGAGTCTCAGTGGTCCGGCCGGTCCCGCCCCGGGCGGCTCGGCGGCTCTGAGCCTCATCCCAAGATCGCGCGCCGAACCTCCCAGTCGGAGCAAATTGACCGCGAATATTCTGATGAAGTTTGATAATGTTGTTAGGCGCCACTCCAACAACAAGATGGACCGATTAGGTGCGTCGAGCCGCTCGCCGCCACGTGCATGTTTGAGGGCCCAAGGCACTTGGAGAAGAAGATCCTCGAAGCGACGACAAAATAAGCCCATAGAGCGGAAAGAGACCAGGGGCATTCTGTGGAGCACCTCACGCACTAGCTGGTCCCCACGCGCATACGTCAAGCCGATGCTAGAACACTCGACACTCGAGCACCTCACGCACCAGCTGGTCGTTCATGTGAAGATGTCGTTCAACACTCGATTTACTTGTCCCGCGATTAGACATTTGCGCTCACTGCTTACTGCAGGCCAGGCGAGGCTATTTGATGCGAGTCATAATTACCATTGGCAGTGCATTGGTGACACACATGCCACTCACAGTGCAGGCGTGTTGTTTTGCTGAAACCTACCAGCATTGAACGAAGCGAGAAGCATCTTGGTTTTGCTAACTGAGAGCCATGCACATTGCATGTGCAAATGACAACGGAGAAAGAACTAGACATTCCGGTGAGATGCATAACTGAGGTGGCTATGCAACTCGATGTTGTATGCTTTAACACTGCCACGAATCGGTTTGCGTCTTCTGTATGTGTGCTGTATAGTGATAAGATTGTTTGGCCATTATTGCTGCGTCAGTGGTGTGGAAGCATCTTTGGAACAGGCAGCTTCATCTTCCAAGGGAAATATGGCAGCACTGCTAGTCCTCTTAAAAAGTTGCCAATGAAAAACACACTGGCCAACCTTCCGTCCCTTGCAAGTTGCATATAGCTTATGCAGCAGAGGGCTTGGCTGCGAATGCAGAGCATCAAATCACGTTATATCTGCCAGTACAAAAATGATAACTGTGTTTACCATTATGGTCAAGTTGAGCCCCCAGCGTTCGAAGTTTTTAACTCTCACCGAGTGAGTCGACGTCAAACTGGAGCTCTATGCCAAGAGATCCCGTTCCCCGTACGCCCTGAGCGCTGCCAGTTGCAAGAATTCGTCCAGCCCATGCACCTTGTTATCGAATGTATTCAATTTGAAGACGCTTTCGAGACAATTCATCGACACAATTTGAAGACAATTCATCGACACGACAAGACAAGACGATTCATCGACATAATCTGGCAAATCACTGCAAAGCAGAGTAGGCAAGTCTCCAGTGGATATTTCAGGAGCACACACACATGCCATTCAGCGGTAATCCGACGATCAATCACAATTGCTTATAATCACATGTCACAGATGTTATCCTGACGATAGGGTGACACGCAATGCGGGAAGAAT